GGAGACTTGCTTGAGCCCAGGAGTTGGAGGTTGCTGTGAGCTGTGATGTTACAACACTCTACCCAGGAGGGAAGCTTGAGGCTCTGTCTCCAAAAAAAATAAATAAATAAACATGCTATCATGAGGCTCAGCACCTGTGGCTCGAGTGGCTAAGGCGCCAGCCACATACACCTAAGGTGGAGGTTCAAATCCAGCTGGGTCCGCCAAAACAACAATGATGGCTGCAACCAAAAAATAGCCAATAGGCGCCTGTGGTCCCAGCTGCTTGGGAGGCTGAGGGAGGAGACTCGCTTGAGCCCAGGAGTTGGAGGTTGCTACTGGGGCATCTTGCTTGGGGCCCCCAGGGGGATAGCTTGAGGCTCTGTCTACAAAAAAATAAATAAATAAACATGCTATCATGATAAACAGCAGTCATGACAAGCAGGTGAGGGAAAGCACAATTCTGCAAGTAACATCACATAACCAAAGTGGGAAAGAAAACCAGGTAAGGCCAGCACGTTTCTCGGCTAGTCCTCTGCCCACAGAGCCTGGTCTCACTCTTCTTTCAGTGGGAAACATTTTAGGAACAGAAACACCCGAGCATTATTTAAGTACTCTTTTGGTAGCATCCTTCTTCATTCTATCTGTCCTGATGCTATAACTAGCTTATTTGTAACTTCTTCAAGAAATTTCACTCTGGGTTATAGCCCTGTTAATTACCCATAATACTTGGAACTAAAAAAACAAAACAAAACACAAAAGATCAATAAGTTTCAAAATGAATGTCAACTGAGACCTTTACAGATGAAACCTACTGCCTAGAAGTCACCTGGCCAAACATATGCACAGCTGGAGACAAAAGACTATGAAAATAGGACCAGCTGGAAAATAGGTCCCCAATTTAGATCTGGTTATTCTGCATCTGTGGATGTGATCATCATCCACAGTAGAATAGATGTACCCCTCATTGCTCAGAAAAACCACTGCTTGCTTAATTGAGGCTACAGGCATATATGTAACTGGTTCTTGAGATCATGAAAGTTCAATCCTTCAGGTCTTGGACAAGCCTTAATCAAATTCAGCACCTTGTTTTGAGCTGTAGTGAGGCCATTTGCTGGCATGAAGCTATCTGACCAAAGCTCCCTGTTTCACTCATTCCTGGATTGCTGCTGGGTGCTCTACCTGCTGGGGGCTGGCTGTTTGCTTTGGTCGGCATCATGTGTGCATTGACTACTTCCAGAATATGTGTGGGAAACTCATTCATTTCCTCCAGGAGCATGATCTTAAAGAAAGGCTCTTTTTGGTCTGAAAACATCTCAGGTGGCCTGCCACTTTCATATTTGTTTCTGGAGGAACCACAGTGGTTTCACAGGTGCCAGTGTCACCTGTGTCAAACCACTGGCGAACATCCATGGGTGCAGCTGTCATGTCATCTATTTTGTCAACAGTGTTGGTCAGAGCCCCCTCTGTATGTCTAATTATCCCCACAATAATAACCTGTGAAATCTTGACATTCCTAATTTTGAATACTTCATCAGCGAGGGTGGCAGAAAGCAATTGAGATATAGTACAGGGCACAATGTGCTGAGCTCCAGCTCTTGATTATCTTTCGGACTGAGTAGATGTCGGTGATCCAAAGCCCCCTGGGGACTATGTGTAGCTGAGGATTCCCTTCTACGCAGAGCTGCCATAGTTATCAAATCCACCCCTATTCCACATCTTGGTTGTGACTGCCTCGGGAAACAGGCCCTGAAGGTGCTGGCCTGGCGGGTTCATGGAAAACCTGAGAGTCCTGCTGGACTCTTGCTTGGTCTTGAACTCCTGAGTTCAGGAGATCTATACACTTTGGCCTCCCAGAATACTAGGATTATAGGCATGAGCCACTGTAACTGGCCTGTTTTGCTGGAGTTTGTAAAGGTGCATCTTAGAAACATAATTTAAGCTGTGACTTAAAAAAGTCACCCACATATAGATAGATTGTTGCATTTAGAAATATTTATAGGTACATGTGTATACAGTAGTATACACACATATTAACTTCCTCTGTCAATTGAGAAGGGCCCCAAGCAAGATACCCCAGTAGCAATGAGTATAACTACCACCCAGATCTTGGTTTCTTATACCAGTCTCCAATAAAAGGAACCAAAAGTTCTCCAAAAAATGGCTGATTCTAGGATTATGGTAGGAAATATACACAATGAGTTTGGAGCATCTTGTAGGGCCAGAAAGTAAGGAAATACTTTCAAACACACATACATACACACATGAACTAATGACATACATCAAAAGGTCACAGGCAGGCCAGGTGCATGACTCCCAAAACTTTGGGAGGACAAGGCAGGAATATTACCTTATCCTAGAACTTAAAGATGAGGCTGGGAATGCAAGACCCTGTCTTTACAAAAAATAAAAACAAATTAGCTTGGCATGGGGGTGCACACCTATAGTCCCAGTCAATTGGAAGACTGAGGCAAGGGGCAGAGCCTGTGCCTCAAAGGAGTAGGGTGCTGGCCCATATACTGGAGGTGACGGGTTTACACTCAGCCCTGGCCAAAAAAAATGACTGAGGCAGTGGCTAAGGCGCCAGCCACATACACCTAAGGTGGCGGGTTCGAATCCAGCCCGGGCCCGGCAAACAACAATGA